CCACTGCTCATGCCTGAACCACCGCAAGACTTCGCAGGCACGCCACGAAATACTGCCAAGTCAACCGAGATACAGCGCGACGTCCGGTCAGACTTTCAAAATAAAAGTACAACTTGTAGATATTGCAAACGTCGAAATGTATTTTATGTCCAAAAACGGCTTTCACGCACTATATCAAAAGCTATATCAGGTGTGACAAAACAAACAACACATTTTTCCTCAGTGCAGCTGCCATTAATGACTGAACCAGGACATTAGTCAAGTGAAACGATTAAACAGTATGTAAAAATACTGCACAACAGCACAAACACAATTTAGATAGATCGATGAAATGGAACACCTGGGTGCGAGTAGGCGTAACACGCAAAACTATTTTATTTTGGAGGGCTGGCCAAACAACTTAAGGTGTTTGTCTTACCATCTGTTGGCTTCACGAGACTCGGGCTCGCACAGCCACTCAGCTGGGCAGTTTCGGTAGCAGGGCGCCACATGCTGGCAGCATATGGTCTAAATTGGTATCATGTGGTTATGTATTTCCGCAGACACAAGCATTATTAAGATGAAAAGTCATAAAGGTATATTTTACTACTTAGATTATCGTGTTGCATTAATGCAGACCTGTTAGAGTTTAGTATGCAGTTTATATCTACATTTGAATGTATTTAGGCATATTTGGTTTGATATTATACAACTGTCATCGTGTAGCGACAAAGACATTCAAGAAAGCATTTGGGTTTTTTTTCATATGAATGGCTGGGACCTCACGAACGTCACAGACTGGATGGCATAGTATACCAACCTGTTTAATTACCTCCATATACAACTTGTGAAGTAGAAATTGTTGTGCGTTATGACTGTAGAATTTGTTTTGTATCATATTATATGAAAAATGTATGAAACTGATATTTGTATACAAGTTGCACATTATTGGAAAATGACTCTTCTGCAAGATCCACACACAAGAAGAACATAGCAGGGTAAAAAAAAGCACTTTTCCTGTGACCTACATAGTCTCCTGATTTGCTATGTATAGTCAGTTTATTGATTGGATGTACAGTAGTTACAATTGAATTCAACCATAAACTGCATATAATTTTAACAGTGAGTCAAGTTTTCATTGCAGAAAAAGTATCAAAACATTCAAAAAAATTTCAACCACTCCTGCAGCATAATACACATCTCCCTTATCCCTCTGTATATGATTAAACTAGTATCAAATGAATATTTGGACTGCATCTGCAAGGTCTATTAAATGATGCTTCACATCATACCCTTAAGTAAAAAGGCCTTTTGCACAGAAGATATTTTGACATGTCACAACAGGAAAAGCACAGTTATAAAAAATAAAATAAAATAACAATAAATAAATAAAAATGTCAATTCCATTTAACTGTTTTGGTTTCAGGTTGGTCTCTCTGTCCAGATTCACTGGCCATAGTTGAATATTGCTGATGTTATTAGTAACACCTGTATAATAATGCTTGAAAATGTTATTGTTAATCAAAAGGTCAGACTTTTAAAAACAACCATCAGCCATGTCACATATACTGGAATCAATATCAGTCATTTGCATCACGAAAGTTCACTGTGCGCAGCTCTATGGTGCTACCCAATTACAGTGTGGCCTGACATGTGGGTACGCTTATGCTGACTATAATATCCTGACATACTGTAATGTACAGGATCATACTGTAATAACATGAAACAAGTGTGAGCTCCTATGAAATTTACAAGCAATAACATTTAATAGTCCACATTAACAATACATACTGTAATAAAGAAAGAAAAATGGGAAAGGAAAGATATAGTATACAGTACACACCTCATGATAGTTTATCCTTCACAGTAATCAGGTGCTGAACATCCACAAAGTTAAACAGGGAAACTTTGCTAATTGTACACATAGCCCTACTAAATTGGTTATATATTAGATATATTTTTAACCTTAACCACCATTCACACAGAGTCATGCCTTTCAAAATATTTGAAAGGACTTGAATATTTCTTTCTCTCTTTCCTGCCTGCTGGAGTTTTGTTCATCCAATGGACACACGATGGCACCAGAGGATCAACACAGACCTGTTATTCAGGCCACGAAGAAAAAAGACACGAGACGAAACACTTAACATAAACAAGAGCAGGGTGCCATGAGGCGGAAGAAGCAGAATTAAATGCAGTAATAAGTGCATGAAATAAAGACTGCGGTGAGGGATTTGATATTTATTTATTTTTTAATGTTTGGCGACATAAAGTGAAACGTAAAGTAAAGCTGTCACTTTGTACTATTTAGTCACAGCACCGCCACAAGTATATTTCGGGAGCGTATTTAAAGAAATGTCGAGACTTTTACCATTCATCAGTTGTATGTACAGTGTGTCCAGTCGGGTCATATGGAGAGCTTCTCCCAGTCTACCTCCACTGCTACGACCGCTCCCAGCTGGACAGACATGTGTTTTCGCAGCCGGCAAAAAGGAACTGATAGACCTTCCTGTCCTGAATGAGGACGAGCTCGAAGAGCAGTTTGTGAGAGGTTCTGGACCCGGGGGACAGGCTACCAACAAAACTAGCAACTGTGTGGTGCTCAAGCACATCCCCACTGGGATTGTAGTCAAGGTAGGAGCAAATCTTTAACTTTGTCATAAATGATGTCCAGGTGTAGTAGATAGTTTTATTCATTCTTTGGAAACAGCAGTTGACAAAAAACAGTCTAGCCTCTTGGTCAATAGTAGCTGTTTTGATGCTTTCTAGTACAACCCCAAATCAGAAAAAGTTGGGGCGATATGTAAACTCAAAATTAAAACTGAAAATACTGATTTGTAAATGATCTGCCCTGTGTTGCACTGAAAACAATATAGCAGCACATTATTTTCAAGGTTCAAGGATTTTATTGTCAATTCACCGTATGTGCAGGACATACAGAAAATCGAAATACTGTTTCTCTCTCATCTAGTATCGGGTGCCATAACATTTAGGAACTAAAACAGAATAAAGTTGAATAAAAATAGAATTGAATAAGAACTGGATTGACGTAATTAGGATAAATCTAAACGGTATAGCCAATAATCTGTGACTCAAAACCAAGTACAGTCAGTGACAGTAGTGCAAAACAATAATAGGAGATTGTCAGATGGTTCAGCATCAGCAGGGCGTTTGTGATGAGGTGCAAATAGCATATGAAGGTATACATGGACAGTATTGCAAATGACCAACAGCAGCAGATATCTCGGCAAAAAAACAAAAACAAACAGTTAGCAGCAGATTCACATATAACAGAAGGTAAAACAGCAGAGGTAGTTGTTTTTTTTATGTGATACCAGGAATTTTATTTTTTGTTTAAAATAAACACTTTAATTGTGATGCCTGCAATACATTTCAGAAAAGTTGGAACTGTAAAGTATTTGCCACAGTGTGATGGTGTCATTCCTTTTCACAACACAAACAATGTTTAGGACTGAGGACAACAAGTGATTAAGTGTGTCAGGTGTAGTTTTGTCCCATTCTTCCTGTAAACAAGTGTTAAGATGCACAACAGTCCTGGATCTTCAAAATGCACCACACATTCTCTATTGGGGACAGGTCAGGGCTGCAGGCAGGCCAGTCCAGCACTCACACCATTTTTCTCCACAGCCAGGCCCTGGTAATGTGTGCAGTATGAGGTTTTGCATTGTCTTGTTGAAATATGCATGGGTGTCCCTGGAAAAGATGTTGCCTTGAAGGAATCTCTATGTGTTTTTCAGCATTAAGGGAGCCATCACAGAAGTGTAAGTTACCTTTTGCAAGGGCACTGACACAACCCCAGACGACAGCAGACCCTGGCTTTTGGACTTATTGCTGGTAACAGTATGGACGGTCCTTTTCGTCTTTGGTTCGGAGCATATGGCATCCATTCTTTCCAAAAAAAAGACCTGAAACACTGATTCGTCTGACCACAATACACATTTCCACTGTGTGATGGTCCATCCCAGATGCCTCTGAACCCAGAGCAGTCGACTGCACTTCTGGACACTGTTGACAAAGGACTTCCTTTTGGCTGTTAGGCTAGTGGTTAAGGCGCAGCGCTTTCGCTGCAGCGCCCCGGGTTCGAATCCAGGTTGCGTCAGGAAGGGCATCCGGCGTAAAAAATGTGCCAAATGTCAACATGCAAATCGATTCACTGTGGCGACCCTGAAACGCGAAAAAGCCGAAAGTGACATTCATACAGTTTTAAGCAACATGTATAGATGTATCTATGTATTGTAGTGCCTGACACAGGTGTGCCAAAGGGATCCTGAGCCCATGTGGTTATATCGTTTATGAGTGACAGTTCTTGATGCAGTGCTGTCTGAGGGATGAGAGAGCACAGTCATCCAACTTAGCTACAAAAAATCTACTTTCAAAGTTATGTGATTTACTAAACCTGTTTTTATTTTTTGTACCATTCTCCCTGCAGTGCCATCAAACTAGATCTGTGGATATAAATCGAAAGCGTGCCCGGGACATTATGAGAGAGAAGCTTGATGTTGCATACAAAGGAGAACTTAGTGAAATTCTTGTGAAGAAGAAAGAGTCTGTGCTGAGGAAGCAAGAGAAGAGGAGGAAGGCAAATGAGAATCTGGAGAGGAAAAAACAGTTTAAAGAAGCACTGGCTGCAGACTCTAAACCCTGGAATGACACAGTTTAAAATGTTTGTGTAGAATATAGAAAGAAGACATTGAATACTTGTGTGGTCCAGTACTATATGTCTGCAAACTGTGCAAAGACTGAATAACAAAACCTGTACAGGTGCTGTTGACAGTATCAAATCCAAATGACCTTGTATATGAATGCCATAGTATCTTTCATGCAAAGCTGCAATAAATAGTACTCCACATAATACAAGATAAGGAAGGAGAAAGAAATTAAAAATAAAAACAGTCTAAACTGTTGATGTGCTGTTTTTTTAAGGTGCTGCACTGATGATTGTTTTTAATTGAACGATTTTATAGCATTTTAGTCCAATTTATCACTACATACCAGCAAAACTATTGTTACTGTTATTAATGATTTCTAATTGGAGCCTACTCCCAATACTTTAAGACGTAAACAATCATTTTATTTTTACCAGGTTATAGGATATTTAAAATGGTAACGACTGAATCATGCTTTTAAAATTACTTCCTGTTCATATACCACAAGAAAAACCATTTGTTTTTAGCATTTGTTAATCCAGGTAATCTTATTGAGATCGACACTTTTTAATAAGAGAGACATGAATACGGCAAAGATTCTGGTGGGGCCTGTTGAGAGACCATCTGTATAACAGCCAGAGATGTAGCCAATCAGAGAGCTGCTTTTATGCTCCAGCTCTTCCGGTTTGGGCGAAACAGCCAATGAGAGGAGCGGTTGTGTTTTTAAATCCACCATGCTTTCACCATCCTTTTCTGCAGCTTCTGGGTCTGTTTGACGTCGCAGAAGCAGGGAATTAAACATTGAACAGCCCGTGCATATAGAGGGCATTTTTAAACAGACTCCTCGTCCTCATTAAATTTTATTCTTGGAACTGAGATGGCAAAAGGTAAACCTGCAAATTGTTGTTTCAGTAATTGTTTTATACAGGCTACAATAGTTAATGCGAACAGATAATGCTAGCTAAGGTAAATAAAATAATTAAATTAGTAAGATTAAATAACTATCTGATATTTGCAAATAAAATCTCCAGACAGCGGTCGGCTTTAGTATAACGTTGGGTGAATTATACAGCATTGCATACATTTATTTATTTGCGTATTTTTTAAAGGGAAGAAAAATGTACTGAGAGACAAAAAGCCCCAGGACAGTGTTGAACGTAAAGTCACCTCACAGAACGAGACAAAGGAGAACAAACCAGCAACTATCAAGGTACGTCCTGTGGTTTGGTTTTACGCTTCTGCTGCTCTCGTTTCCGCCAACTAAGGTAGCAAAATAACTAGTTCTTTGTCCCAAACTATGTTAACAAGCCAACCCTAAGGAAATACAGTGGGTCCTGGTTTCTTCTTCGCAGGCTTCTTGGACTTTTCCGGACCAGTTCACCTTAAGAGTAGCTTAACGCCTGTAGAGGGCATTATTCAGTAGTTTTTAAGGTAACCCATGGACTGAAAACACAAAATATGCTATAGTGAATACATTCCAATAACAGCTGTGTTGACTTGACCGTAATAAGCAGTATTGTTTTCATTAGACGTTTCAATACTGACAGCAAATGAACAAAAATAGCAATTGGACTTAAGTCGCACTGTGCCATGTTCAAGGCTATTAAAGAGGAAAAAAAGACTACGCAAAAGTGAACCAGGATTTAAAAAGTAAATAGTATTTTATTCTAAAGTCGAATTAATTATTTAAGTGTGTTTACTGCTGCATATATTATCTTAAAAGTCAGTGAACAATGCACCCAGCAAGCGTTTTGATATTTTTTTTTTTTAAGGGGAACGGAAAAATTCAAATAAGCTGCGAAGACGCAAGCAGGTTCAGCCTCTTCCTGAACTTGGCGTCGTAGCAATGCCTACAAACCTTTCCTTCGAGTATCTGAAGAGGTTAAAAGCGATGCCTTTAACCTCTTCAGGTGGCCCAAACAGACTTCGCCTGTGGGCTGTGTAACGCATAGACTACTGCTTTACTGAGTAATGTAATGCAAATAAAGTATTGCACTTCAAGTAGAGACGGCACTGTTGGCATGGGGAAGTATACCAATCTTGAGTTGGTAGGCAGAGTAGCGCAGCCATTTGTGTTGGATTCAATGTGAGTTTTAAGGATTGAACGACGTTTTTATTAACAAAAAAGTGATGGCTACAAAGAGCATTGCAGAACATGTGCAACCTGTCTCTAAAAATGGAGTTTCTTGAATTCGCATGCAAGTTATGAGTAGTTAGGAGCAGGAATAACTACATTAAAACAGTCTGACTGCACCATCTATACGGTTCTAAACAGTCACAAAACATGGCTTTTCTCTTTTTGTAGCTCATCAGATTTGCATACTGATACAACCTTGGCCATCTAAATGTATGTAACTCCTTAAGTTTACTCCTGTGTGCAGTACATGGCTTTTCCTTTTTTTCCCCACAAAGTTGTATCATTATTATTTTTTTCAGGATTGCAAGGGTAAAGTGCAGTCCATTCTCCAGAGTCTACGAAATTCAAGCAAACCTAGAGCCCCTCTCGGTGACAGTTCAAGCATGCTGATCCAGGAAGGAAATGAATCTGATGGAGCTAATCCTGACATATCAAAGCTGGAAAAGAGTAAGTGGCATATCTTAAACCATTCTGATTGACTAAAATAAAATTCTGTTGTTTAATCATTTGTATTACATGCATTTGCCTGTTTTGCTGTTGCCCACTGTGTTACCATATGGTCAGCAGATCCATGTGTGCCATGCAGAAGTGAATGGTAGCAGTCTTTGCTGACCTGCTATCTCATGACATGACCTAACTGTATTTTGAAGGAACCTCAGTCTCTTGATTTGTTTAAGGCCGCAGTCAATTTGCATTCTTCTCTTCCTCATTTTAGGCAAGCCCGATAACACAGAACCTGAGAGCTGTGAGTCCAAAGAGCAGAATCCTGAAATGGCTTCTCACAGTCATGGGATCACAGAGCAAGCCACTGACCAACTTGTGCAAAAAGAATCCACCACACCGACAAATGCTGGGTCTACAGCAAGCAAAAAAGTTTCAGCATCAAAACCCCGGAGCAGAACTGGTCACAAACTTGGAGCAAAGAAGTGAGTGCACCAGGCACACAGTGCAACAGCTCCTTTCACAGTCAGTTGCACAATAATAATCTCATTTCTCTGATAATGTCTCTCTTCTTAGGATGGAGACTAAAGTTTGCCAAAACAGAAAGGTTACAGACTATTATCCCATCAGACGAAGTAACAGAAAAACTAAGGCAGAGTTGAAGGTTTGTGTGGAAAAATCCTTACTTATTAATGTATCCTTTTGCTTTCTGTGCTGATTATTTTTGTACTGTCAACAGGATGAGGAACATAAACATATCGATGACCTGATAACGAATGGCACAGAAGAAGGAATGCAGGTAACATTTAATGGTTTGAGTGTTGTGACGCTTTGAATGTACTGCATACTATAGAATTAGAAATAAGCAGTGAAGAGTTCTAGTTTGTGACAAATCCCAAAGTTTTGCCAAATTGGTTAAACTTCACACTTTGTTGCTTTTAAATGTTGACAGATCAAAAACATAGAAGGAAAAGGAAGAGGGGTATTTGCTGTCAAGGGCTTCAAAAAGGGAGAGTTTGTGGTAGAGTACCATGGAGACCTACTGGAGCTAGCTGAGGCGAAAACAAGAGAGGCCCAGTACGCTCAAGACCCGCAGACAGGCTGTTACATGTACTATTTCCAGTATCAGTGCAAGACCTACTGGTAAGTGCAGACATCACTGCTTTGAAATAGCACTGATGTGGTTTCATGTTTTGTGTCTTTTTTTTTTTTTTTTTTTTTTCCCCACTTTCTGGGAATCCTAACGTACCTGCAAACCAGGGGGACTTTCTGGAGTCATGTGCAGACATAGTTATGCAGAACAATTCATTAAAATTAGTTTGGGTATAAAAATATTGATGAATTAAGTCTCCCTTACTCTATATAACAGCAACATCTTTCTTACCTTTATATAATATCCTTTCTTTAGCCTCTAGCTTTGGCAAATGCTTTTTATGGTCATATATTGCAATCATGCTTAGAAAATATTCTCCCCCACAGGGTTTCTTTTTTCTTTTTTTTTTTTTAACTATGAAAAGACTTTGGCTGGCTTAGGAAATTAACTCATGAGAAGAGTTACAGATGATTGAAGACTTGAAAATGGAAATTATTTGTTCAGATTTTCTGGCAGACTTCTAGTTTGCATACCTGTGCTGTGATGTAGTTTTATCTTGCTGTTTATATTACAGTGTAGATGCTACAAAGGAAACAAGTCGTCATGGAAGACTGATCAATCACAGTAAAACAGGCAACTGCCAGACTAAGCTTCATGTCATCGATGGAACCCCTCATCTGATCTTAGTGGCTTCCAGGGACATCAAAGCAGAGGAGGAGCTGCTGTACGACTACGGTGACCGGAGTAAAGCTTCGATCTTGGCTCACCCTTGGCTTAAATACTGAATATTTGACCAAAACTGTTCAGAATTCAGATGAATTGGTGCTCTCTGCTGGCCTGTGACATCTCTATGGAGAAGATGCTACAGATAAGCAGGCCAACATGATTTTTTTTTTTTAAGTACAAAAACTGTTTTTGTTTTAGGTGGAGGCTAAAGCGTCAGCTCAGTGTATTTTTGCAACAGTTGTTTTTATCATGCTTTTATATTTCTTACCTAACTGTAGTAGATGGATGCAAGCTTGAAGTGTTTTTCTCCTGGATAAGTTTCACATTGTCCAGGAAACCTCCTGGACAATGTGACATTTTGTAGGAATATAATTCTGACCATTCAAATTCACAATTGTAACTTATTACCTGTGCTGTAAATTGAAGAATAAAATAGTTTTTCATTGCAGCTTTCATGGAAAACGATGTTTAACCATGAGTTGATTACCTGTGACACCATTCTCCAGTTGGAATAGAACCAACAACACTGTGTTTATAGGGTTTGCACTTTAATCTACAGGCACCCTACTGTCATATTTACAACCATCCTGCAGTGCTACTGGTGAAGATGATGCTAATTTGTACCAAAGTATTGCAAAGGAGTGGTAAAACTGGAAAAACAGGCAAATAAAAATCTAGTTCATAATGCTGTGAATGTTCTATTGTAGCCAGAGCGACAAAAACATTGTGTCGTGGAAGGACAGCAGCTGTGTTGTCAGTACCTTTAGCATGTGCAACAAAATTTTGAGTGAACTCTGTTAATTCAGTAAAGTCTGTTCTTTGGTTCTCTTTTGCTGAGAAATTTGTTTTTTAAGCTGTCAACAGGGGTCCTCCCTTAAGATCCTGCTCCATGACTTGAATAACTGTCCTCATTACCCTGATATTAATGTGTGAAGTCAAATACTGTAGTTTATGGTCTGTGGCAAATGCCTTCTGCATCACAGTTAAATAACAGAAGCCTTTAAAAAGTAGCCAAACACAGAAAAATATTTTAATGAATAATTTGAGCGGACAGCTTTGATAGCTGACAGCTGAAAATGTGTGTCGATTACTGGACCGACATGAAGCCTGTTGCAAACTTCGTCTGTAAATAGAGTACTTCATCACTCCCAAAGGAAAGACTGAGTAAAAAAACAATTTTGAGTGCACTCAAAATCTCCAACTAGTTGGATAATACTTTCCAGTTTCATTTGATATCAATCATTCCATAATATATATTTATATATACACAGTAATTTCATTTTGCAACTCCATATTACTACAAACCACCTTAGGTTCAAATAACAGGTACAAAATACAGGGTTATTCAAAAAGAATGAACCGATTTCATTACGCAATATCTTAAGGAAAAGTAATACAAAACTCCAGCCAAGTCACAAGTATTCTACTCACAATCAACTTTTATTTCCTGTCTTAAAAGTGTTCAATGTGGCCAGCACAGGCAACATCAATGCAATAAGGGAATTCCTCCCAGGCGTGTATTAGCATATCACGATCCACTGAGTTGATCGCTGTTGTTATTCGATGTTTAAGGCCATCAAGGTTAATGCCTGTGGCAGCCATTCAAAACTTAGATAACTCCTCGTTCAAATGGTCACTGACTCATTCCATGATGATGCTTGAGAACTGAAGCAATGCGTAATGAGATCAGTTCATTCTTTTTGAATAACCCTGTACAGAGCTTGTTAGATTAAGAAACAGACATTGTAAAAAATAGTATAAAAGTGGCTAACTGATGATACAGTAGGCTGACAAATCCTGTTTGTCTTCTACGTGCTCAGATCTCGCTATAGATTTTTCATTTTCGCCTGAATGAAAACCTGTAAACAGAAAAGACCCAGAATTAGTTGAAGTTTCTGAACATGGTGGTGTAAACATGGAGCACACGAATATAACTGCCAAGAAAGCAGTACTGAGTCACGCCAGGCACCACTAATTTATACACACTGCTGATTTGTAACTTCTCTGTCTCAGTGCAAACATCCTCAGCATCAGTGTGAATAAATTTGGTCACAAGTATATGATTAAGGGATGGGCTGTGAAAACAACCTCCCTGCTAATTTGTTTTGGCATCATGTGGTTGCTACTGAAGATTGTCTTGAAAGCTTGCCATCTGAGGTGCACAGCTAGAAATGGTGTATGGCTAGAAATAAAAGTTGTACTTTTTCAGATTATTTCTTTGTCATCTGCACAGTCACACTTATGTAGTCAGTAAAGCACTCCAGCCTCTTACTTACAATTTGCCTATGGTCATCCTCTCCTCTTTTGCATCATTTATGGTGGCTGAACTGTGCTCTGTAGTTGCTGGTATCTCCAGATCCACTTCCACCATGGCTGGTTCAGCCTGTGGCAGAATCCCACTGCAGGGGCATGTATAGCTTTATGTTAATTGAGAATATTTTATGTGAAGGTGTCATGCATCAAAACTAGTTCCAAAACAAAATTAATGACAATGAAGCAATATAATCACTAGGATCTATAGAAAAACTGGGATCAAGGTTATCAACAAAAATTAAATTGGCAAGGAAATTGGAAGTTAATTTAAGCGTCAGTACAGATCATGTCTACTGCTGAAATTTACCATATTTAACTGAGGTGTTGATACTGTTGTGTTTTCTTTGTCATATTAGCCAACAGAATAAAAGTTGTTTTTTGATTATTGATTTCCATTAGTCAGTCAGGTCTCTATTTATGGACAGACTATATATGATTCTGTATGAGTAAAGGTTCAAAAGACTCCAGGCAAGTGACAGGGGTCTGGTTCTGGGACAACAGGACCTCACCCATCACTACACAGGAGCACACTGAGTTAGGGACCATCTACAAATTACTGTCCAATTGAAATGTTACATTAGCTGTTTTTCAACACCTGTATGTTGGCTTATGTACATTATTAGTGCTGTCAATCAATTAAAATATTTTATCTCAATTAATCACACAACTGTCCATAGATAACTCATGATTATTCACAAATTAATCACACTTTCTAAAAATCTGTTCTAAACAGTGGTGGAAAGTAACTAAGTACTATGGCAAGTTAGTGGATTCTAGAGATCCTGCAATGGATTGAGTCAGGCTGTCTTTTTACAGAGGCTTCCATGCCCCATACAGTGCGTGACCCTGGATAGCTGCTGCTTTTATTAACAGGAGCACAACACAGAGCACATGAACTTATATTCAGTCTCTCCCCCTGCACTTAAGTACAATTTTGAGGTATCTGTACTTGAGGATTTTCATTTTCTGTTACTTCATACTTTGACTTCATTACATTTCAGAGGCAAATATTGTGCTGTATTAATAATTGTTTTAATAGAAATAGCCTGTTGAATGTTAGTTGAAAATCCAACTTCAAATTAATTTCACAGCAGTCAATATAATCCAGTTTTGAGGAAGAGAAGTTACCATGAATTTTGCAATAAAACCTCCTTTATAAATCTTGCTTAGAAGGGACTCTAAGCTCACTTGCTCACCTCTTGTACAGCTGAAGCTCCTCCTGGGCCACCATGAGCTGAGCCTTCAGCCGGTTCCTCTCCTGCAGTACCTCCTTCAGCTCCTGCATGGTGAAGCGCGGTCTGTTGGGGTCTGTAAGGTCCACCAGCAGCTGATTTGGTCCGACTATTCGCTTTGATGGCAGACAGAAACTGCATCACTAAACACCCACTTACATCGGACAGGAGCTTAAACTGTAGCTACACTCCAGCTGACAGATTGTACTCACCGTGGCCTGCCCCGCCGAGCCATCCTTGATGAGCCTGTCTAGTTCACTCTTTAAGTTGTCCCGCTCCATTTTCAGTTCCTCGAGGGACAAGTTGTACTTATTCACTAAAGTCTCGAACATTTCTAAAATGCGGACTATCCTGAACTTCAAATCCGACACTTCTTCTCCCGTGCTGCTGATTTTTAACAAATCTCGTCCGATCACGTACGAAATGTCATAAACATCTTCAACCGTGAGGTCAAGCGCGTCCTTCTCGAATGCCAGAGTGGGAGACGACTCTTCACCAACCTCCATGACGGAACGATAAGACTCCGAAAAATCCTCCTAAAAATGCAAACTTTTCCAAAGCCCTTACTTACAATACTCTAGAAACAGCGCCTTTTTGTTTTTCACCAGCCCTAAATACTTTTACCGAGGTATGGTGACCGCAGATGAGCTGCACTTCCCCCATCACTTGTCCACCAATGGCGTGATCGTTTGACAGCAGAGGAGGGCAAAGTATCCTAGCAACAGGTGAATACAAAGATCAATTTTGGGACAAGAGAACTCCTCCCTGAGTCTTTTGGGCAGCAATTGTAAGACAGCATATAGAGCTGTTATTAGTTATTTGGCAGATATAGGTATTTTGGATAGAATTTAGTAGTTTATGCCGTTCTAAGAGCTTTTTTAAAAAAAAAAACATTCCTACGGCTCTATTATCGTTCCCCACTCCAGCCCAGCAGGTGGCCGTAATGCACCTTAGGTTGGCTTGCAAACCGCAAATAAACATCATAAGATAGCTCATCCCTCAACACTGTCGCTCTGTAAAGGCGGGCCTTTATTTCCACGGTAGGCCTATAGAAAACTGGTAAGAAAAATATGTGACACCTCTCAGCTTTTCTTTTCTCTCTGTCAAACTACATGTCAGAATCACATGATTTGATGTTTTTTGTAACCTTACCTTTGTACTCATTTTCTATCTTTGTTCTATTATTTCACATTTCAAAGAGTAAAATGGTCCAGGAAGGATTTTTGCCAACACCAAAGAATGTCTTGATAATGCTATAAACTATCAAAGTAGAAAATTCATTTTAACAACCTAAACATGTGTTAGGTAATTTCTTAGTCAGATAGATATTTGTTAGACATCTGTTGTATTAGCAAATGTTTAGTGGAGACGGGCTGTCTATGCTCAGGTTGGTAAATGCTTAGTTCATTGTCATGAGTTCTGCAGGCTGTTGACCAGGCCAAGGTCAACTAGATTGCAGAGTCTGCAGGCAGGATGAATATTGCTAGTAGCATGCTATGCTCAGCCGTAATCTTAATTATAATATCTTCCGAGGCTTACTGTTCGGACATGTCCCTGAATGTCCTGTATGTTTTTAGATACACACCACTAATCAACAGCCACACACTTTAATTTTCTCCATGTTTTGACTACTGCTCTGGTCAGCTGCCAAGCTGGCATATCAGGTGACGTCACAGTTTGACGTTGCCTGTGTAGGATGGGGCTAGCCCAACCAAGTGATTAAATTGTATAGGCTATTAGGTTCAGGGCTTTTTTCATCTTCCGGGCTGCCTGCGCGCAGTACTGGAGGTGGAAGATGCCTGGACGTGTGATGTTAATTTTGCCTGTGATCCTTTGAATAAACCAGCACGGTTATATTTTTTATATATCCAAGTGGTCTGCGTCGTCTCTCAGAGTTCCTGGTTGAAAGAACTGGGTAATATCTTTCACATGATATCTAGCATACTTGTCTTAATCATATTAGTAACACAATAACAACATTCATAAGTTAAAAAATAAAACTTTATTATTTTATTCTGAAAAAACATTACAGATGCAGCCTTGCAAATACTAGTGGTTAAGCCATATTTTTAGAGTACTCATAAGTGTTGGAATATATTTCCTTTCGTGTTTTACCAGTATTATTGTGTATTAAAGTGTAAACCACAAGGTGTAGTGCTGCAAGTATATAGCATGCTCTTTTCAACTATTTAGAGGATGACATCATCTAGCTCATTCCCTGCATCCTGAAACCAAGTTTATACACTTTAACAGTAATTTTCCACCTAGACATAAATGACACAAGATGTCAACCATCACCTTTTATGTGTCTTATGGTTCGCTGGACCCATTTCTAACACATAATGTCATTATTAGCAAAAGAAACTTTACAAAGTGTTCATTAAAAAAATTCTTCTATGTTCCATATTACAGACACTTTGCCACGCTGGCAAGAAAATACATCATGTAGGGTAGTGACACCATGTCTTTATTAAGGCCAAGCGATATACTGAGAATTGTGGATGCTAAGTTATTTGACATTACAGCAGGATTTTAATATATAAAGTAACACACTGACAGGTAATGACTTTGAAGCCACAAAATCCTAAGAAGTCATAAATACATGGGTGTACAGGCATGGCCAGATGTCTCACATTTTAACTACTTGGGTTACTTTACCAAGTTAGCTACAATGCTACCAAAATGTGCTGTAAAAGCTGGCAACACTAATAATAAATGGGGGTCATTCATCACAGTTTCAAGTGTATAAAGGCAATAGAAATATATTTTAAACATACAATATTTAAAATAACCAAGTAAACCAGTTCTTTCCAGTTCTTGTAAATATGTCTGCTGTCTGTTGCTGACACCGTATGGGGAAAAAAAATAAGAGCAGTCATAAAAAAAGAGTTTATATTCAAATTCAAGATCACAGAAAGGAAACAAGTCTTCTGATTGGCAACAGTGTGGGATCGTCTGCGATCAAACCAGCTGCCACCATTGGCATTATAGCAGTGAAGATCCTGTGCAAAGAATAAAACAGAAAATAGTGAGGCTTGACAAAGTGGAGAAACTACAAAAAGCACCAGAAGCATTGTTGTGATCAGCGTAATGTTTGTGAGAAGCATTGTTGTGATCAGCGTAATGTGTGTGACCTTCAGTGAACCACAGTGACACTCAGGATCAACAACTCACACAATACAAAAACAGGTAGCCTGAAATGTGATTTGTTTTGCTGATTCCTGTAAATCAGTATCTTTCTCTGATGGTGTTTATAAGACACATTATAATGATAAATTACATTAATAGGGTGTCACAAGAAAAATGGAAATAGGGCTGGCCCTCTTCACAAGTGCAATGGTAAACCTTGAAGTATGAAGAAATGTGTGAAAGTCCTGTGCCAAACTCATTACTCACAAGCGTCTTATTCCTGATTCAGGCTGATCAGTGGAACTGGAGCATGGTGGATGTGATGGTGTATAAACAGTGGAGCTGACGTCATCCTCAGACTCCTCACTGTGGGATATGGAATGGGTAACCTTTAATGTTGCTATCAGTGTTTAGTAAAACTGAGTTACATGTAAAGTTTGTTAAGAAAACCAGACCTTTTGTAATATGCCAGCTCTTCCTGGAGCACAAACACTTGGGCCTTGAGTTCATTCCTCTCCTGCAGGACGTGACGAAGCTCCTGCAGAGTGAAGTGAGGTTTGTCTGACTCCTGCTCCAGGCTATCTGTCTCCTCTTCTGACTGTGTTTCAGTTGACCCTTTCTGCAGTCAGAGCACACATTCAGCATTTCTACCGGCACAGTATGAACACAGAAACACTAATAAATAAACAAGCAGCTCGGCAACTCCGCATTAGGCAACCCTTTGGAGGCACAGTCACAATCATTGTTTCTGTTGGTGAAGGTAAGCTGATTTGTAAATAAACTGAAAGCATGTCACATGTTAGAGATAGCCCTGCAATGGATTGGCAACCTGTCCAGGGTGTACCCCGCCCTTCGCCCGATTGCTGGCCGGGATTGGCTCCGGCCCCCCCGTGACCCCGTTCAGGGACTAAGCAGTAAAAAATGAATGAATGAATGAATGAATGTTAGAGATATTTGGAAAAGTCGTCAGGGAGCCTTGCCAAGACACACCGACAGAGAAATAATGCTTTGTGTTCAGTATAAACAGCCTCCACTACAACCACAGTAAGACTGTGTATACGGAGAACTTAAGCAGTTGGTACCTGCTGTTGCAAAGCTGTCACATCTTCATTTTCATCACCATCTTCCACAATATTTTCTCTGTTTGATGACCCCGGGAGAAGGGAAAGACTCTTGTCACAGTTCACCAGGAAGCCAGGGTCCCCTCCACACTCCATCCACACTGAATTTGGTTTGATGGAGTCAGCTGACATGGCTGCAGAGGACTGGATTTGTGGCACAAAACATGCACTTAGGTGCCAAAAGAAAATAGTAAACTACAGCCAATCATAGCTTCAACATAATAATATTCTTGGTTTACAGCCTGCTACAGTAAATATACAGCAAGCCCTTTTTCTTACCATCATCTGTTGTGATGTAGGTAGAGATACCCTGGACCTTCTAAGAGACAACTCTTCCATCTCAGTGACCTCTCTCTCTAGCTCCCACTCCCAGAGCCCCTTCCTCAGCCTTGTGACCTCCAGCTGCAGAGCCCTTAGCTCCTGTTGCTGTGCCTGGGCTGCAGCCTCCAGCTCAGCCCTCTGCTGGATCAGTCCCTTCCCCTGGGCCTCCATCACTCCTATCCTGTGACGAAGGTCCTGGTTGATCCTCATCAACCGGTGCTGCTGCATCTGGAGCTATAGTTGAGGGAATTTGTTTTAGGACTACTTATTATGGTGAAAGACAGAAAATTGTATCTTAGTATTTGTGGTACAGGTGGTTTAAATCCTCACCGCCTCAACATCCTCATTCCTCAGGGTCAGCTCATGTTCTTTAGCTCGGATTTCATCCTTCTGTTTATCCACCAAGTCTTTCAGCTTCTTCATCACCTGTTTTTCTTTTTCTGACATTCCTGCAGGTATCATAAAAAAAGTACAGAGTGAATTCTAATAAGAGAATGTGCTTTACCCTGCCACTCAACAGTTCAGGCACAAAAGTTTTGTTCTGTTTTTTAGCCTATTAAAGGACAAGGTTGCTCATTTCCCAGAATTATCACAACATACAGTACAACATGCTGTGTTGTTATTAACATAACCCATATATAATAAATCACATAAATTTAGCTCATAACTACATGGATGGCTTATGAGAAAGTGGTCCCTAAGCACACACAGATAATAGGCCCCCCGAGCCATCTATATAGGACCATCAGTCATTTAATGTGTCTTTATATAACTTTTCTGCATCTCTTTGTGATAATTCTATAATTTTGTGTGGTCATTTTGGATCACCATATAACAATGAATTGATCAAACCACGTCTTTCTTTAGGAGGTCTGGAGGTTGAAAACAAGTTACTGAGTTATTTCATTAGGAAAGCTAAAGAAAGCTTAGAAAAAAGAAGTACTAATACTAACAGAAGTACTAATAAAATCAATTTGAACCTTCTAAAATAATTAAACCCCTCTCATTAAGAGTCATTGCTGGAGATAACCCACCCTCCTGTTTCTGACGGTCTTCTTCTGTGATGGAGGACTCTTTAGGAGGGAGGCTGGTGAACAGCTTCTTGTTCTCTGCCTGAAGCTGAGTGATTTGAGAAGTCAGGTCCTGCACTTCTCCTCTCCAAACATCCTCCACCAGTTCCAACTCCTGAGTGTAAGCGATGGAGAAAAAATAAGAAAGAGTGCAATTGCAGCCAAGTGTCTGCATAGAGTGGGCCCTACTTGGCATTTGTTTGGAAAGGACTGATATATGTAGCTCATAGACAAATTATGTCAGAAAGGGCAAGGAGCAAAACCCCCTCACTGAAAAAAGATATAAACCAACCACAAATCATGCAGCCATGTAGTCTGTGATTGTTGTGTCTCCTTATGGTCAATCTGTCTTTAATAACATTTTGCATTGTTTTACATCTCAATTTTTTGCATGTCTTTGCAGTTGTTTTGCACCTCTTTCTGCTCGTTTTACATGGTTTTTGTAGTTAATTTCCATCTTTTCTTGTGGTAATTTTGTGTGTCTGGTTGTTTTTTGGATAATCCCCACCTCTTTTAGGGTATTCATCCCACTGTCTTACATCTCTTTGTGGTGGTTTTCCGTTGTTATTGTTTGTATGTGGTCTTATCCATGTCTTTAGTAATCTTTTGTCCCTTTGTAGTGTATCATTTAGTTTATGCGTCCCTTTCTGTGATATTTTGCAGCTGAAGACAAGGGGCACTAAAGATCCATTCAGTAGCCTAATTCACCCATGACATACTGTATGTATGTGCATGAAGATGAGACCCGACAAAATCAGCAATATTTAAGATTTTGTTGCCTCCTAAATTTGGAACGCAAATGTTCCAGCTGAGTATTTAGAGTATCTGAGCTAAGCTAATAAACAGGTACACAGTCAGGTTGACAGAGACCTTCTGGTGCTTCCTTTCCTGCTCGCATCGGTCGCTCCGCTCCTGTCTCAGCCTGTCCAGCTCCCTCCGCAGCCCCTCCGCCTCTTGTCCAGCGGCTCCACGGCTAACCAGCACCTCTAGCAGCTCCAGAACCCGCACTACTTTGGGCACTACCCCAACCAGAGCCTCACACCCAAACCTGTCGATGATCCGCTCGAAGTCCTGGCCGAGCAGCGCCGCTATGTCGTACACATCGGTAACCGTCAGCTCCTCCGCGGGTCTCTCCAGCGCTGATTTAACGCAGGTTTCCATACCCGTCTTCTGCTTTATTTACACCTCCGACATTGAACATATTTCTCTTTATGATCACACTCTTAAATGGACTCACACTTGCTGTATAAAGTCGAGTCTGAACAAGCTAGCCTAAACATGAGTTAACTTGAACCAGTTTGTTGACAGTTTTAACTTCTGGTGCTGCGTTCCATTTTCTCGCGAAAACTCGTGCTGCTTTAAACGTTAATAGCATCCTGGCGTATGTAATAGACTGTAGCTGAAACAACAGACTTAAGGTCATCGTAAACTGACAAATAATAAAAATATTATTGTTGATAATACATTGTTTCTGCTGTCACTGTGTGGTCCTCTTCGACGAGCGTCGTTTAGTTAGATTCAACGGCGGATTTAAAAAAATTGTCATACTTACAATTGCTCCTGAAGGCAGCGGCCCTGGGTCGAATTCCCACTGCGCATGTCATGAAATTATTAAAGCATTGCCCTTTGTGTTTCATGCCCATCATTCAACTTTAAAAATATCCCAGCACTACTACCTACTACTTCTACAGGTAGCCTATAACAACATTTAATAAGTATTTACTAAAATGTTAAGTGTATAAATAATAGGTGTTTTTCTTTATTAACTTATTTTTAGATATCAATACAACCTTTTCCATTATTTGTGTAGTAACTTTTGTCCATTAATTATAGGCTGTAGATTCTGTGATTAATATGGTTAAGTCTACTGGGTGGACACAACAGCATATAGTCTGATCAAGACTACTGAAAGAAATTGTCAGTTGGTTTCTTCTTGAATGTTCTTTGTGTGATTGTCATTATTGATAAATTCCTTGAACAAATTCTATCTAAAAGGCTTCATAGGCTTAGAACAAGATGAAGTAACATAATGAGACATAAATCCAACATGTATTTATTGTTCATCTGTTTAACATTTAACACCAATATCTTTACTAAAATATATTAATAGATCTGACTGTATAAAGACATTGAGAAAAGGACAGAACATAAAAAGATGCATTTTAAGACCCTGTAAGAAAGCTCCCAAAGGCAAAGCCGAATTGAACACCTTCATATTGTATTACCGACCCTTAAATCTCATCATTCAGCATAAAATAAACATTTCATAATTAAGGACACCTAAATCTGATATTTGTGCACAAGCATTAAATCTATCTATCTATATGCTTAAATATAATATCCAATTTCTCTTCTAAGAATGGGACATTCAAGGCATGAGTGTAGATATAAATTATACTTGGTGCTAGTTGCACTTTCCTATAAGGACTATGTCTTTACGAGTGTTAATAATGCATTAGTACAGTACATTTCAAGACAATCTTGTACTGTTGAGAAAAGTTGTTTTGCACATAAGCAGAACACCGTCCATGATGAAGGCAAAGCTAGAGGTATATACAACTTTTGTAACAACATGGACGAACATGACGTGATTCCCCAGTTTCCTTCACCACCCAACACAACATAAATAGCATACAGTATACATTAAGGAGAATGTGATGGGCTCTTTAATTAAAGTTCAAAATAATGTGCAAAAGGTTATCCAAAGCATGATCAAAACCAGCTACTGACATACAAGGTATGTTTAATGTTTGTATTCTAAAAGCTGAATATCAACATTTTTGTGATGCAGAAAAAAATACTTTCATGCACCCTAAAAGTATAACAGATTTTTTTTGTTCTTGATGCCAAGTACTTAAATTAAAAGGGTTCTGCCTTGAATGCGTGTATATCTTTTAAAAAGAGGGTTGAGATTAAAGGCATCATGGGTCAAAAATCAGGCATCTGGTCCATTTTGGCAAAAATAAAAATAAAACAAACAAAACAAAAAACAGAATGAAATTGAAACAGTCTGATGCAGGGTGAGGCAGAGGATTGTCAACATGCAACTTAATAGAACTGCATTCACAAAAAGTTGCTCTTCCTCTGGTCAATCCAACCAGCCATTAGTGGAGCATTTTCCTCTTCTGTTCAGGCATTACTTAAACTGCAACATACAGGGGAAAAAAAGATAAAAGATCAGATTTATCAATAAGTTGAAGCTTATTTTCTCATATAAAACACAGCCTTTTCTTCACCGCCCTTACTGTAGTTTTGGGTGGTATGCCAGGTTTCTGGGCCAGCGCAGGTTTCTTCATGACAGTTGGCTTAGAGGGTTTAGGTGACATGGAGCTAGGATAACCCAGTGAGGAGATTTCACCGTTCCCCTCAGCATCCTGGGTTAGAGGAACTCCAGCCAAATCGTAGTGCTTTTTCCTCAGCTCACCTAAGCGCAGTCGCTCGTTGTCCAACAGACTTTCTAATTCCAGTACCTTTACCTGAGAGAAAGGAAATACGCAGATGTCATATCGACAGTCAGAACTGCTGTATTTATAAGGTCATTAATTCCAACATGTCAAATCAGCTGACTGTCAGACTGATTTAGCGGGCATTCAAACTGAACCGGTAAAAATGCAGCTCCCTGCTATTTTAATGTGAGATGCTGCATTGGTCAGGGGGTGAGGGGTTGCACGGGGAGTGTTGTAGGCATGTACCATATGGCCACGCTGTGACAGGTCCACGTTTCATTCACATTTCCAGCCCATGAGTTTCAGCTGTGTTTTGGATAGCCATGCTGCTAACGTAGCCTAGTCTACCTTAGCACCAGTTCTACCACCAGTGTGTCAGGATCGATAGATAAAAAACACCATTTAACATCCAGTACTAATGAAAATGCATGGCGTGTCATAATGGTGCTTAACTGTGGCACAGATTCAACAGAGAATAGCAGTGATTGCTCATGCTAACAAGGTAAACAAAAGCCTTCTTCCAGCGGACATCCACATCCTGATTGTCCCCAGTACGTGTTTGGTCAATGCAGCGTTTTTGCTGGATGATGTTACTGTCGGGTGCAATGAAAGTTGAACCAGATTTAACTTTTTGGCCACACGGGGTTGCCTCATTTTGCTGGAGTGGTGCTGGTGCCGGCTGCGGTGAACTCAATCCCCCATAGAAATGAATGGAGAGGGCTGCGTTTTCATACTTTTGAAACTCAGTCTGAACACGGCCTTATGTAAAATAGGAAATAAAGCCAGATGAACTAAACTGTGTTTCTTCTAATTTACTTATTGCTGATTTTAAATAAGATTAAAGAAGTGCACAAATGTATCTTTGTGAACTCAATTTTAACAAACAGATCACACAAATACAGTATAATGTGTCCTTGTTGGCTTTCATAGCCTTACATTTAAGAGTCTAATTTAGTTTAATTCATAAGACACCTCAGCCACTCTAAACCCCTGACAGACCTATCCACATGGCTTACCTGTGACTCCATTTCTTCTTTCCTCAATTTGATGAGGGACATCCCAGAAAAGTCCATGGTATCTGCACAAGAAAAGTGTTTGGATAGAACATAATTATTAAAATGGCATGCTCATGATTTATGGTGGTCTATAACACAAATCAAACTGGGTGAACCTTTTTCCTCCAGGTTCTCCTGGCCCGTCCTTGTTGAGGCCACCACCTTAGCTGCCATTTCATTCACATGGCGAGAAGCCTGTTGAAGAACTGGCAGCTTCTTGCTGTTGCGATCTGCCTTAACCTGAGTGCAGAGTACAGCGGATGAGTGAGGCCATTTGACACCACTGACACACTAAACCCACCACATCAGTCACAGGAATGTGCTGTACAATGAGACACAGGAAGTTACACTAGCAAAAAAAGGTGCAACATAATTAAATGTAATGTGGTTAATGGTTAAAGTGACCACAGATATTTTCACCTAAGTGAAGTGAAAAATGTTTACACTTTGGCAATAATACAACAATATATTTCTACAGTAATAGCAGCATGTCTCCAAGGCTCTTTCCAGAAATGAGACCATTACCTTTGAGGCAGCGACCAGCTGTGCTGTGCTAGCGGCGATCTCATGGGAGCAGACAATCAACTCCTCATATTTGCCTGTGTGCAGCACCACTTTATCAGCAGACTCTCTGTGAGCAGGTAAAAACCACTTCATTATTATTGCTGTTATTATCTTGTGGAAGTTCTGTGGTTAAATCAGTGCAAAATAACTTAACTGGAAAGGGGAACAGTACTGCACACTGGCTAATGGACGGCTGTGTCATTTAAGGCACTACACAACATTTTCCAATCAATAAAACATTACTAGGTATGTCTTGACTCATGAGTATAATAATAGTAAACCATTAAGGCTGTCAGCAAGAATACTTGCATCCTCTAACAGCTGATGCATGCATTTTACATTTTGTACCTGTTTAGTGATTCAAGGGAAACAACAACAAATATTTATTGTGCCTGAGCTGTTGTTCAGCTGTTGTGAGGCATGCATGCATGCATGGGAAGAATTAGCTCTGGGTGCTGCAATAATGTGTTTGCTATATTAGTACTACTTTGAAGTGATAATAAATTAAACCCTCACAAGGTCGTGAATTTGATATTAGCCACAATGTTTGCTTGTGCAGTGAAGACCATTTGTTTTACAAAGTATATAAAATGCATGTAAGATGTAAAGGGAAATGCATATTTGTAAGAATATAAACTGGAATGTCCAGTATAACTATGAGCTTACACCATCTCTGTAGCCCCCCATCCCACAGCCTTTGCAGCAGAGATGAGTCCCTCAGTCCAGCGAGAGTTTCTGGCATAGAACTCCTTAATGGTTGCTGCGCCCTTAAGAAGCAAAACATTAATATTGTTAGCTGTTTTTTTTCCCCCTGAAATAAACAGTACAGCTCACTCTGATTTCAGAAACACAAACTGTTGGATTTAAAATTAGAAGAGTGTGACTCACCCTCCCACTCTCAACAATCTCCTTCTGCAAATCTGTAGATGCTATGATCAGCATGCGGATGGCCTACAGTAGAGTGGAAAACACAAGGACAGATAATGACCAGAAATCCCACACATGTTCATTAGGATATTAATGACAAATAAGACATACAGTATGTAGGGTATCTGTGATAGTCCAGAAGGTATAATATCAAACTGCTGTACCTTCATTAGGTCTGTGCAGCTGTAGAGGATTCTGTAAACAAGTCAAACAGAGAGCAAAACAAAATTCACAGTTGTGACTTTTTTGTTCACAGAACAGTCAGTGACTAATGAGAGGAAAGAAATTTGCAACAGAAAAGATGACAAGAAATCAGAGGATGCATTTTGACTTTGTTCTCTGTATTTTAGACACATTTATTGGCCTAATGCAGACGTATTAATTACAAAAAGGTTTCAGATGCATTTTATTACAGGTTGGGGTTTATCTGTCTGAGATACACAAAGTCCCAGAGAAAGAACAAACCTTTCATTGACCTCCAGTTTGACCCCTGATGTGTCCTTTCGTGCCTGACTCATCATTTCCTAAACGCAAAACCACGAGACATTTATCAGTCACAATAGATACACTGTGCAATATTAAATATTTATTCACTACATATATTAATATAATAACATCTAACAAAACAAAAATGTCTTAAAAATGAGTGAGACTATTTACATCAATCCTGCGGACTGCCTCCTCAATAGCTGCTGATGTTGCAGCCATTTCCTTGTCGACCAGATCTCCCAGCTCCTCCTGACGAACGTCCATGCCTTTGGGCCGCAGCTCCTGGATGAAACAGGTAGGAAAATAGATATGTTAAAAAAATACAAGTGACTAATACTGTAAAGAACTTAAAATGTCACAGGTAAAAACTAAACCCAAAGGTTTGGATGCTTATATTTCTGATAAGAATTGGTTATTGTGCAAATTCCAATAACGACTATGAAAACCTACTGTACTACAGTAGCAGCCCTGTGTTCCTGAAAAAAGTCAGGTAAAATTGGAAGAACTACCAAAAGTCTCATTCAACAAAAATCAAAATAATTACAAAAATATTACAGTTTGTATTGTGAAATCCAAACAGCATGAAATCATAGTGGCGGTCGGATGTTCTTCCTATGGATTTCTTCTTTTTGTTTGTCTCGGTAATCCAACACACGCTGACATCAAGTCAAAGTCATATTCTTAATTTCAGCAAATTATTTTTGACCTCCATGTAAGCAAAAAATAAGGTGTTTAAATCATCGGGTCATCTTCCCTTCCCAATTTATCACCCACGGGTGTTCGATTACCACCCTATGCTTACTGCACTGTCCCAGAAACAAGTTGTGGTAGGAACGTTTTTAAAAAATGCTAAAATAAAAACAGACTGATGTAGCATCAGTCCGTTTGTTTGCAACTTACTTCCATACATGTGCATAAACCAGTCACTCTTTCGCTTGAGATGAATAAAGGTTCTGGTAATTAATGGAACTTATAAAGTATGTTTATTGTTTAAAAAAAAAAAAAATTATACAGACATTCTGTTTTTTCCTCACCTGGCCCAAGTGCAAGATCTTTTGAATGACTATGCGAATGGAGGCTGGGTCTGCCCTTGGGAGGGTGGTCTTGGACTTCAGGTCCTTCAAATACCGCAAACTCTCAGTGGCACAACCTCTGCAGTTCTCAGTCAGTCCTGCATTGTGTTAAAGAGCAGAGATCAGCCATCGGCCATACTTCTGCATTCTGTGTACATTGAATGTTAAAGCTCACGGTTAGAAATGCTCATACAGCGCTGAATGGCTTTGTATAGTCTGATTAATACATACTTAAATTAATATGAAAAGTACTGTACTGGTGCTAAGAAAGTATTCGGAGGTATTCCTTACGGTCTGCGTGGTCCGTTGGTGCCATGTGTGCAGTAGCACTGCCGTTTATAATTGTATCTGCAGCCAAGTGGGAGAACTGGGTCAGAGCCGTCAGCAGCCCTCCAGCATCTGGTTACAAGAGGATACACAGAGCATTTTTAAAAAATATGTCTTTGATGTTTGTTTATCTTGTATTTATTTATGTTTTATTGATTGGTGTTATAAATGTGCTTGCAAATAAATCGGACTTGGCATGCAGTAAGAGAGAAGTATGCCACATTAACAAACCAGCCATACAGTGTCATGGATTAAGTCAAATGAGAAGCAGAGGAAACCTACCCCCCATCTTATTCAGATAATCTGCATGGCCCTTTTTCACTTTGTCGATGGAGCCCAGTGCAGCCTCTGCCCGACTTACAAGGTAATCTGTGTTTGATGGACAAAAGATTAAAGAAAAATAAACATAAGCTTAATTCAAAGTCTCCAGAACAGGCCATATACTACATATAGTCAACCAACTAAAGTTCTGGTCTTTGTAACACACAATTTAGCTTTTTTTTTTTTAAATTCATTTAATTCTCACGGTGCTGTTGTTAACCTGTTAGCATATGTCTTTTGTGAACTAATAGTGCAGGGTCTGACCTGGAGAGCTAGTGCAGCGTATATGGAGGGGATCATCTATCTTAGCAACAGCATCTTGGATGATCTTCTCAGCTTCTGTGCAGGTACCCTGCAGCAAAGCAAACTGCTCCTCCAGCAGCTTCTGCTTCAGCTGTTCCTCCTGACTCACCTACATGCATACATACACAAACGCATATTCAAAAGAACATACAAATGTGTCTGGTTTAAAACATTTTGATGACAAAAGAAACAATGACATACACAAACTAGACTGCTGATCCCATTCTGTCTATAGTAGTGAGCATTCACATTCTCTTTTTAAACTACCTTATTCTTAAAAACACTTTTAGACTGAGCTGTTGCTTATAAAGTTATTCTGTTTGAATTCCCGTTAATGTGCTACAGAGCCAGATTTTTTATTTATTATTATTCTTTCAAGCATGTAAAATAGGAAAAATTAAAAGTAAGTAAAAATTTTAACAATTTAGACTGTATGAAAGCTCCATTGGTGTGATCCCTATACCCCATCTTATGCACAATTCTTATCGCTCTTTTTTGTAATATATACAATGGTTGAAGTGAGCTTTTGTATGTATTTCCCCAGTTTTCAACACCATACTCTAAGTATGGTAAAATCAATGAAGAATGCAAAATGCGTAATGCTTTCCTGTCCAAAATAGATCTAACCCTTGCCAATATCGATATATTCATTGCTATTTTGTGCTGAACATATCTGATATGAGATTTCCAGGAGGATTAATCAGTAAAGACACTGTACACTAAACAGTGGCGTTCCTTCTCAAGTGGACAGCCTCAGACCTCAGGTTTGTCTTGCTGCTCCTACAGTATGGTTTGTGTCCTTGTGGCTAGCGTTGCACAAAATAAGCAAAGCTCTACTGTTTTGACTGACCTTCTCCTGCAGTTTGCCCTGCAGCTCTCCAAGCTCCCTGCTGTTCCTCTCACGCTCCTGCTGGAGTGACGACTGCTGCACCTGCGCAGCCTGTCGCAGGGATGACAGCTCCGCCTCCTTCTCACTCACAGATCGCATCAGACGCTCCTTCTCTGCCTGCAGAGCTGTCATTGAGTTGTTCATGTGCTCCGACGTCTGGCAAAGACAGACGACAATGAGGGGAGTCAGAAAAGGCAGATGGCTGCGAGTGGCAGAAGTCCACCCAGAAATATGTGCCTCCAACCACAGAACTGATGATAACGCTGAATACTAAATGATGGTGAATTAGCTAAACACCATCGTGAAAGCACACAGGTGCTCACTCACCTGCTCGCTGCTGTGCAGAGTCGCCTTGATGCAAGTCACTTCTGCCATCTTCTCCTCCAGCTCTCTCTTGACCTTCTCTACCTCAAACCTTTGCTCTTCCAACTACGTTGACAACACAGCGGCATTAGTCACATACGTCCACACTAGACATGCATGTTATTAAAGCAAAATAACACACCACCAACCTTCATATCACAGTCCTGTTTTATCCTGTCAATCTCAAACGACAGCTGCAGTTTGGTCCTCTCCACTTCTTCTTGGGTCTGCTGGGTTGCTGACAGCATCTTCACAGTGTCTGCGCTCTGTCAGCACATTAATGCATTTAGTGTTACCGCACATAATGAGGTGCTGATGTATAATTTAAAACAAACATCTCTGGACTGGTCTGCAGTCTATCTGCACCTTCCGAAGCAGTTCGGCATGGCTGGCCACCAGCTCTGTGTGCTTCTCCTTCAGTTTATTGTACCGTTGCTCGGTGGCCTGCGCTTTTTCTGCACAGAGAAGCGTAATGGCAGCATGATCTCAATGACTGGTCCACATTAATATTCTGACTGACTGAGAGAGAATGTTAACTGCATATATCTTACTCTCTGCCTCAATGAAGGTTGACTGTAAGCTCTCATGTTCTGCATTTCGGTAGCGAGTGGCCTCTAGCTCCATGCGCAGCTGCTCATTTTCCACAAGGGCACGTTGTTTCTGTGCACGCTGTTCTTCTAGCTCTGCCTCCAAACTGTTGATCTGGGACTTGAGCTGTGTAATGTAGCGCTGAGCCTTCAGTCGGGAAAGACAGAGATGTGTGCTTCAGGAAAAAACTACTGATGTTCAATGTTCAGCAAATCATCTGAAAATTTTCATCCCACAAAAAGCATGTATTTATTTTGCAGCCATGATCATCTCATTCCTTGATACTCGCCAAATTTTATTTTCCATTCTTTTTACTTCATATATTTACTTTTATAAAAATAGAAAAATGTAAAATAATAAAATTAAGTAAAATAAAAAAAAAAAATAAAAAGATGGAGCGGTATCTGTGACGTACTGTAAAGTTAACACCTGCGTCACCTCTCATTCACAGGCTACTTACCACATTCCACATGGCAGGAGCAATATTTGCATCCGCCCAGCACATGACACAGATTCCTTTGCACATGTCCTCTACTGTCACATGCACACAGTAAACAGTCTAAAACCCAAGTACCAGGTTATTCAGTCCCAACAGTCCTTACCTCTGCTTTCACTCTCTCCAGCTCTGCTCTCACCGACTCTATGTCCCGTTTCAGGTTGTCAATCTGGATATCTCTGTCAGACAAAAACTCCGTTGTCACAGTGTTCTGACACCATATAATCCATTTAACGCTCACAGGGTACAGTGAGAAACACTGTGGCTCACCTGCTATCGAAGCCTCCATTCGGAGGTCCAAATGCCTGATCAAATATGTCAGGTGCCTGATAAAAAAATAAAAGATGAACAAATAAACATAACAAAAAGCATACACAACACCGTGGTAATATTGCATACTTGTGTAAGTGCATCTGTAACTGTTGTGCCATACCTGCGGCTGTGCTTGTACGCTGGATGTTGAGACCTGGCTGACCTCAACAAGCGGCTCGCCATCATCATCATCATCGTCTAGTTGCTGGTCGTCCTGGTCAGGGATGACCACCACTGGCTTCACATGTTTGGCCAGTGAGGCTGCGTGCAGAAAGTTAGGTGGGGACTGACAAAGAGGACAAAAAAAATTTGTTGTAGGTTAAACCTGCAACAACATATTATTATATTCAGACGAAATTTTTTAAATATTCATAGCTGCCATGCTAAATTTCAACAAAGCAAAGCTGTCTATATAAATAATAAGCTTTGCCAGTTTGTAGCTAACAGTAGCAGCATTAGGTGTCTTTGACATTCAAGATGGAGACGATGACTCAGCACAGAAGTCATTCCATCTCTCTCGCTCCATCCCTCTGTGCACTTACATCAGGCAGCTTGGGAATCTGGATCAGTCTCTTGAAGTAAATCATGTCTCTGGTTCTGTTGAAAAAGGTCTTAAGGCTGTGGGTCAAAGGAAACAGATTAAAAACCTTCTATTCATGCACAAAATACAGCATGTGTAATAGAGACTCAGATTTGTTTTAATTTGTAGTATTTTCTACTTGTTTCTAATTGTGGACCACTGGCAGGCACCTTGACTGTGTCACAATTCTTTTAACAGACAGGAAGTGTAAAGTAAAATGTTTGAACTACAAAGTCGGTCCTCTCTGAACTCAGCTGTAGGGATATAAATGTGTCTGTGTCAGTGACACAGGGTGGGGACGGGGAAGCAGTGATGGGCACATTTGCATTGGTGCAGAGGCCTGTGGTGACTAATTGATCAAGATTATGCTGCTGGTTGATTTTGGTAAAACCCTCCTTTGATGTGGTCACTTCTATTAACTTGTGCCTGAGGCCTTAAACAACCTACCTGTGGAACTGGTCATGAAAACGTTCACGGTGTCCTTGTAAGGTGTCAGCAGGGAGACCTGAAATCCATGACATTAGGCAATGCTTAGATACACATAAATAATGTAATATTAATGATAAAATCATTTCAATTATACAGCACAGTTCACACACACTGTACTCCTCAGATCTTACAAGTAAAGATGTGCTGATTGACTTTTTTTTTCTGGGTAGTAACTGTTCTTACAGGCATGCAGCTTGAATAGCAGCTTGACGGTGAAGTGGTAGAGGTGACTACAGTCCTGGATAACTTGGATGAGCGGAGACAAGCGACACTGTCCTGATGTGAGACTGGAGATGGCGATGGATGTGTTGAGCTGTCGGAGCACTGTGAGAGGGATTGGAGACAGAAGCATATACAGTAGTACATGTTAAGTATTTTTGAAGCAAATTTTGACAGTAAATCAAAATATTTTGCTGGGTGCTTTTAGTCTGGAACGTTCAAGTATTGATGGTGCAGCATCATTGTGAAACATGGCCCTAGATGGTGGCTATGTCAAACGCTATGCTAATGAAGGATGTGTGTGGATATTGCTGGTTGAATACAGTGCAGACTCTTCCAGTGAGCTAGTTACTGTAGTTACTGTTTTCACAATTGGTTCTCTTGAAGTTTGTGCACCTAGCTGAGGTAGCAACAGAACATGCTTTCTTCAAACTGCAATCAGTGACAATAACTCCACAACGTCTTGCTGAGACTGAAAACATATCCTGTATGTGATAACTACAGAGTATAAGCACATTATGCTCAAAGGAAAGCTGCAAAATTTGTTTACAGTGTTGAGACGTGATCCTGTGGCTCCACCCTGCAGGCCAGGGAGGAGCTGGAGGTAATGAACTTAATGTCTTCTAATTGCAGGCATTTCCTTATCAGTTAAACCAAATTTAGGCACAAACAGGAGAACACAAGTTAAAACTGAAATCATTCAACAGAGTGCCATAGTAGTGATTCGTAAAACCCAGAGCTGGGTAAGTATTTTTGCACTTCTGGTTCCCTCGCCTGAGGCCAGTGGGTTTTTTGAAAGGGTTACATGCCTGAAATAAGGTCTGTGGTTAACACAGTCCAGTACATTTTCAAGTTTTGTTCTGTGAAATAAAATACACCAGTAAACACCCCACTCGTGATTTTTAATGCATATACATGTCTCTAAAAAGGCGGTTGCTAACAAGTGGCTAAATGAGACTACAGAGGCTGTCTGGGATATTAAACATCATTACGCCTAACAGGGAGACTCATCTACTCACTAGCCCCCATTTACACTCATTATGTTTAAACTTACACAATGCAAACCTTTAACTGTCACAGCCATGATCACTAGCTAGATCGAGTTACGCTAAGAGGAAAGGATTCTGTAAAAGAGGAAAGCAGTAGAAATCAAATTACAAGTTGGAAGTCGTGGTGTTGACACTGAAGTTATGGGACCATAGTGTAGTTTGTTTATACCCCAACAATAGCTTTTTACTTCTGGTGAATGTATTTGTGCTTCAAATATCATAAAAATGATTATCTTGCTGAATAAAATATGTCTATTAACTTGTGCCTGAGGCCTTAAACAACCTACCTGTGGAACTGGTCATGAAAACGTTCACGGTGTCCTTGTAAGGTGTCAGCAGGGAGACCTGAAATCCATGACATTAGGCAATGCTTAGATACACATAAATAATGTAATATTAATGATAAAATCATTTCAATTATACAGCACAGTTCACACACACTGTACTCCTCAGATCTTACAAGTAAAGATGTGCTGATTGACTTTTTTTTTCTGGGTAGTAACTGTTCTTACAGGCATGCAGCTTGAATAGCAGCTTGACGGTGAAGTGGTAGAGGTGACTACAGTCCTGGATAACTTGGATGAGCGGAGACAAGCGACACTGTCCTGATGTGAGACTGGAGATGGCGATGGATGTGTTGAGCTGTCGGAGCACTGTGAGAGGGATTGGAGACAGAAGCATATACAGTAGTACATGTTAAGTATTTTTGAAGCAAATTTTGACAGTAAATCAAAATATTTTGCTGGGTGCTTTTAGTCTGGAACGTTCAAGTATTGATGGTGCAGCATCATTGTGAAACATGGCCCTAGATGGTGGCTATGTCAAACGCTATGCTAATGAAGGATGTGTGTGGATATTGCTGGTTGAATACAGTGCAGACTCTTCCAGTGAGCTAGTTACTGTAGTTACTGTTTTCACAATTGGTTCTCTTGAAGTTTGTGCACCTAGCTGAGGTAGCAACAGAACATGCTTTCTTCAAACTGCAATCAGTGACAATAACTCCACAACGTCTTGCTGAGACTGAAAACATATCCTGTATGTGATAACTACAGAGTATAAGCACATTATGCTCAAAGGAAAGCTGCAAAATTTGTTTACAGTGTTGAGACGTGATCCTGTGGCTCCACCCTGCAGGCCAGGGAGGAGCTGGAGGTAATGAACTTAATGTCTTCTAATTGCAGGCATTTCCTTATCAGTTAAACCAAATTTAGGCACAAACAGGAGAACACAAGTTAAAACTGAAATCATTCAACAGAGTGCCATAGTAGTGATTCGTAAAACCCAGAGCTGGGTAAGTATTTTTGCACTTCTGGTTCCCTCGCCTGAGGCCAGTGGGTTTTTTGAAAGGGTTACATGCCTGAAATAAGGTCTGTGGTTAACACAGTCCAGTACATTTTCAAGTTTTGTTCTGTGAAATAAAATACACCAGTAAACACCCCACTCGTGATTTTTAATGCATATACATGTCTCTAAAAAGGCGGTTGCTAACAAGTGGCTAAATGAGACTACAGAGGCTGTCTGGGATATTAAACATCATTACGCCTAACAGGGAGACTCATCTACTCACTAGCCCCCATTTACACTCATTATGTTTAAACTTACACAATGCAAACCTTTAACTGTCACAGCCATGATCACTAGCTAGATCGAGTTACGCTAAGAGGAAAGGATTCTGTAAAAGAGGAAAGCAGTAGAAATCAAATTACAAGTTGGAAGTCGTGGTGTTGACACTGAAGTTATGGGACCATAGTGTAGTTTGTTTATACCCCAACAATAGCTTTTTACTTCTGGTGAATGTATTTGTGCTTCAAATATCATAAAAATGATTATCTTGCTGAATAAAATATGTGTCATGAACTTTTGTTTGTCACAGAGCTTATCTTCTGTAATAACCCAAAAGCCTATGGAAAAATCCCACTGGCTTTTTGTCAAGGGCACCAGCGTCACCCCTGCGGCACTCTATAAAAAGGATCAGTCTCTGTGGAAACAGGCAGGCCAAGAGCTGCTCACAATAGCCCCTTCTTGATACACTCTTAGGTTTTGTGCATCAGTAGATCATGGCAGCAGGCTGCGGACCGCTACTGTAGCTCAGGTTTCTCTTCAGTAGAAGTGTGGGGGAAAG